TAACATATTATTTGATTTATTTTTATATAACTATATTAATTTTAAATGAAGATTCAAAATTAAATAAATTAATGAAAACATTTGGTTTACATCCAATAATATATTGGACAGCAAGATTTTTTTTTGATTTTATTTTAACTATATTTTATTCATATTATCTTTTATTTATTTATTCATTAAATGATCAATTAAATCAATTAAATAAAAATAAATTTCAACAAATTCTTTATAATCAAAATATTCAAATTAAATTTTTCTTTTATTCAATTACTTTTATTATATCTGCTTCAACATTACCTTTTATTTATCTTCTAACAAGTTTGTTTTTTTTTTAAATAATACGACAAAAAGGAACACATTGAAATTTAAATAACAAAGAAATCATTTGAAATATTATTTATAAAACTAAATTCGAAGATAAATCTTATTGAATATGTCTGAAATATATTTATTCTATATAATATAAAATTCATTGATATCTATGAATATATTTTCTAGAATATATATTTATCTTTGAATTTAATTTTTCTTGAAGAAAAAGTCAAATTTTTCAAAATCTTTGATTATATTCATAAATAAGAAAATATGTTTTATAGAATATCTTTCATATGAAAGAAATTTCGAAAAAATTTCAATGAAATCAAATATAAACAAATAAATTATTCGAAATTGAAAATAATAAGAATTTTAATAAGAAATAAATTCATCGAAATTTAGTTTATTTTATATCGAAGATTCATTGAGATTTTCGTTTTTTTTCCAAAAAAAAAAGAGAATATTGTTTAATATGATATTTTGCTTTCTAATTAAATATTATCAAAGAAATTTTATTTGATAAATAAAATAAAATCGAAAAAACTCTATGATAATTATTTAGAAATAATGAAAAATGATATAATTGCTGGTTTATTTATATTATTATTGTTAATATTAATTGAAATATTTGATTTAATTCGTATAATAATAATAATAATGATGAAATATTCAATAAAATTCAATAAATATTATTGGTTATTAAATATAATATTTCCCTCATTAAATGGAAAACGTTTAATTGGAATATTATTAATGAATTTATCAAAAAATCTTTGTTATTTAGTTGAAAATGATAAACATATATTATCTAAAATGGGTTTATATAAAGAAATAAATAAAAATGATTTATTAAAACATATATTTATTAGTTTAATTCAAATAATATTATTATTTATAATATTATTATTAATTGATATAAATATATTTGAAAATAAAATAATTAATAAAAAAGATAATGATGATGATTATTTCAATGAAGATGAACTTGATGATGATGTTTTAGAAGAAAGAATTAAATTAAAATCTCTAATTGATTTCTCATTATATCCAATTGTTTTATTTGATATTATTAAAAAATATCGAAATCAACAATATCCAGCTATAAATCATCTTTCTTTTTCTATTCAACAAGGAGAATGTTTTGCTCTTATTGGTTTTAATGGAGCTGGTTTAATAATTTTTTGTCTTTTTTTATTTGATTANACCAAGACATGATTTGTCTTTCAAATATTCGATTTGGTCCGACAGTTGTTTGTATTCTCGACTTATATTTTCTCGAACTGCTTCGAGTAGATTTAATATTTGCTTTTGCTCTTGACTCATGTTCACTTGAACTGCTGCAAATCGATGCGAGACTTGTTGGTGCTCTTGACTTACATTGTGCTGAATCGTTTTCATTTGACCAATGATTTCAGTGATCTGATTCGTCAATTTTGTTTCTGATTGATCCATGCGAATTGAAAAATTATTTGCAATGTCATTGCTACTATTGATTAGTCGAGCGGAAAATTTGTCGACTATTCCCACCAATCGATCGACTTTTTCTTCAAGCGATGAATAAATCATCATCGTATTTGTATCCTTCTTCTGCAAGGGACACCGAAGAGGTAAGGCGTGTACGCCAGATCGCATGCGGACCAGAGCGATATGAGAAAGAAGTCTCGTTTCTACTCGTAACGAGCTCTGCTTCACGAGATGAACATCGATCGGCTTCGGGCGGACAAGATTACCTTCGAGATACACATGATCGAAGTGTTCGGCAAGAAACTTTTCAACCTCGGAACGTGTGAGCGTATTTTTTGTATCATTTTTTCCTTCGATTCGAGTAACGTTCAAGTGGTTATGATCTATGTTGTTCATGTTTGTGGTATCCGAGGTAGTTTGCACGTTTTGAACAATCTGTGATTGCGATCCTCCCCCGCCACTTCCGCTTCCACCGAATCTAATTGGACCGATGCCAATATTGGCACTGGCCTGACCCTGACCCTGCTTCGAGGAGAATTCGTTGGAGTATCGTGCATATGTAGACAGTAATTTGTCGAGTTTTTCGAACCGATCAATATCATGTTGAGTCAAGTCAAGTTTTTGGGCATTCTTAGCTGCTGCACTGTTGTAAACAAATCGATCAGTTTCATTCGAGTCCTTACGTAAAACAGTATTGATCACTTTGGCCACACGATCCGGTCGCATTTGTTCTCCTGTCCAATACAGCGAGTCCCACAATCGATCATCTGCTTTTTCCAAGTGTACCTATGTATATTATGTAGAACATATGCTAGCTGTTTGCCATAATAAAAGAGTTAATAAATCATTTGCAGTTGATGAAAGTGTTAAGTACAAACCAGGATAAATCAAGAGAATCTAAGGTCACTGTCAATTGTTCTACTTTTGATTTAAAAATACTATAAAAGGCGATATTTTCCTGCATGTAACGGAAAATCTAAACTTATAAGCCACGAGTTCACTAAGAAGTCGCGAATGCTAACTCTTGTCTCAGATGTACTGCGACAGATTCTACTAGTCCTCATGGAAGTGTTCATCTCTCTTTTTACTATAAACGCTTTCGTATTTCTGACCTGTTTGAATTGTAGTTGTTTTTCGAGCAGCTTTTCAATAGGCACTGGGTCTTGAAAACTATCAAAACCTTCTTGAACTCGCAGTTTTATGGTCACTCTGTCTGTGACTTCGCTGAGCAACTGTTTGAAATCGTTTCCAGTCAATGCCACAATATCGACTGTTGGTAATTGAGACCGAATATGATTGAACATTGAAGAGCCTGTGACATGTTCGCTGGTGATCTCAATTTGTCGCTCAACGGTCTTCTCTGAATGAAGCGAATATTGAACTTCGAAATTCGACATTTGACATCGATCGATGATCGCTTTGCGCGCCTGCTGACAGATACTTATGTTCAGCGTGTAGATGATAAACTGAACAGATTGAAGAAGAAGAGTATTTGAATGCCATTGGTCATCGACTGTGTACTTGTGACGTGACACATTTCCTCGGAGACCCTTTTGGACAAGACGAATAGCATTCATAGGCAAGAGAGAGACATCACATTTGGTTCTTGTATTCTCATCGGTATCACCACTGCAAAGAGTCGAATAGCGTTTGTTGAGATAAATATGAATATCATGAATCAACTGCGGAGTATAAAGATCGACCGAGAGAATGAGTTCTATTTGACCACTTAATTCATTTTCATGACATTCTGTACTTGTAGGATTGAGACGTGGAAATGGAGTAAAGAAGATATCCGTAGGCTTTTGCTGATTTTGAGCCAGTAAAACTTCTCCATCTTCGTATTTGATCCGACCGATATTACTCGTGCGCACTTCAAGCTGAAATATGCCGCCATCCGACGACTTTTCTTCAACAACGGAGCTTGTCATTGTAATTATAATTAAATCAAGTAGCAGCAAGACGATATTTCTCTGCATTGTGTAAGAAATCTGTGTTGACTGTTTATGAAAAGACTTATATTTGTATGCCTATGCTATGATAAACACGTTTCGATTCGATGAAAGATCACTTGATGACAGAGACATGATATGATGTACAGATGAGAGGATACTCAATGACAAGTCTATGAAGCAGTTACCAGAAAAGAACTAAAGAAGTATTTTCTTTTCTTTCTGCATAGAATATTTTTACATGTACAAGAGAGTCAGACGACCATTGTGCCTATCTAGTGTAAGAGGAAATATGGACAGATTAACATTTTAACTGCATACCAAGTTATTTAGTACCATCTCTGACAGGACCACTGTTTCAAGATGCGAGTGAAGTAATCCGAAGAACATGCACTGGGGTCATTTTCTCTAGTTTTTATCTAGGTGTGTTAATTTATATTTACTTTATTTTATAAAAATAAATAAAATATTAAGATAAATTTAAGATTTTTTCTATTATCGAAAAAGAAACAAATCCATGTTATAACAACAGGATATGTTAACTAGAAGAAGTTTGTTCATTAAATACATTGCGTCGATCATAAAATTGAATGTACAGAATAAGAATATTAAAAAATAACAATGAATTCATTATTTTATTTTCTAGCATATTTTCTTGAAGAGAACTGCCTTCATCACCTGACAGAATACCAGCATTACAGGCAGCCCTCAACTAAAGTCATACCAGCAATTATTTTTAGTTCATCCTTATTTTAATAAAGGTCTGATCAAAACTAGCTTTGAGACATTGATCGCGAAGGGTGTTTCATTTTGTTGATATAGTTTTGATCAATGTCCAGTCAACTGTCTGTTATTCATTTTGATAGTCTAATCATTTTTTCTTGACAAGGACATAAGCAAAGACTACAAGCTCACCATTTTAGTTTATGACTTTTTAACTTTATCGCAGAAAATTATTCACTACAATTACTTAATAATTTGGTATCTTACTCTTTTTCTTGATTGATATTTTGTAAACAAATCAGTTCAATTTCTGTCAGCATAGCACTTAACGATACAATAACATTAATTCATATGAATATTATGTGCATATACATCTGCTTTGTATCGCTTCTTCACGATTAGATACCATTTATTTCATATAACATGGGATGCAAAAGTTTTTGGAAAAATGTCAATTTATGTTAGACAATATTCCTAATTTCTAAACCAATCAAAGTTTTTTTTTGTTAGGAAGAGCGAAGTCTAAACTACAATTTTTTTGCCAGACTTGTTTGTTTTTGAGCGAATCTATAAGGTTGAAGAAATAAAAAATCGAAGACCTCTAAGGACCGTTCTTACAACTACATCTTCGTGCAATATAATTTTCTATTTTCTTTTCATTTTTTCATAGGAAAAACAAAATGAAAACGCACGTTCAGTGATTATTTTTGTAGCATAAAAAGCGCTTTTTTTCGATAGTGCATTCGAAGTTAAACTCAATATTTGTTTCTTTAGAAAAACAAAGCGCTTTCTGGGTGCCACTGTATAATTTGGTCTCTCTTACTACCCGACCGTTTTGTAATAATAAAAGAGATTTTTTAATTCGTTTTTTCCGTTACGTGTCTAAAATCTGACGTATTTTAAACAAATAATACATACGGATTTCAGTTCATACATAGTTTCTGAAGCTTTTGATTGATCTCCGTCTAAATTCATAGTTCTTCCAAAAGATTCTATGGTACAACAATTTCAATTTCCCATTATTTTAATTAAAGAGTCAAAGGCTAACCTTGACAAATTACCGAAGTTGATATCAATAAAACTTTCGATGCGCCCAATTTTGGTGTACTATTTGTTAGAATTCGATCCATGCAGTTCAAGATAATTGAGAAATAGAAATTTTTCAAATTGAAAAAATGTTGTAAGAGCTATTTTAGAGGTGTGAGTGTGGGTGTGGGATGTGGAGTGTTGGTGTGGGATGTGGAGTGTTGGTGTGGGATGTGGAGTGTTGGTGTGGATGTGGGTGTGGAGAGTGGGTGTGGATGTTAATTGAAGTACTGGATTGATACTCACACCCTCCATAATTTGAGCTTATAGCATAGCTGAAAACTCGGGAAGGGTGTGGGTGGGTGTTGGGTGTGGGTGTGGGTGTGACTGGGTGGGGGTGTGATGTAGGCGTGGACGTGGATTTTAGCGCGTGAAGTAAAGATTAACAGCCAGATTTCACACTCACACACCCATACCGACACTCGCCCACATCCACACCCACACCCAAAAACTATCCCAATGAAAATATCTCAGAATGCTTAAGCAAGAAGGGAATTCCCAACTATAAACGAAAGCTCGTGACAATTTCAAGCTACCAATTGAAGATGAATTTTGTTCTATTTCTTCATAGAAAATTGACTGAGAAAAATTAAATTTATTATAAATGAAGATTGGAATAGCTTTCATATTGAATACAGTAAAATGTATGGATTCGGGTGTGGGTGTGACTGCGGCTATGGGCGCTGGTGGGTGTGGATGTGGACCCTGCTTCTTTTTACACCCACACCCCATACCCCACACCCCACATCCTACATTCACACCCCACACCCTAGATCTTCACCCACATTCACACCCTACACCCGTGCCCACACCCCATACTCCATACCTCATACTCCACACCCCACACCCACACTTCACATCAACACCCAGACCCATATCCCGCACCCCGCACCCAAAACACTTACGCAAGGTTAAACGATATACTAAAGATATCACAAATCATAAACAAATCCATTTCAGCATGAAAAACCTTACAGAAGTGCAAGTAATATTGTCAAAATGACGGGTAGAAAGAGTGAAAACTTATTTATCATGTATTTTTACTTTTTAATATTGACTCGATATTTTTTCGACAAATTGGACAAAATCCATATTCCTGTTGCATTCTAGTAGCGCAATCGAAACAAAATCCATGATGCCCGCATGGTACAAGAGTATAGTCTTTTTTATCTGCCATACAGATAGCGCAATCATCGCCATCACTTATAGTATTATCTACAGACACTTCTGTTACTAATGCTTCAGCAATAGTGCGTGAAACAGGCATTGACCTATTAGTCAATGAGATCATGTTTAGTTCATTCTTACATGATTTACAAATAGTGATGACAGAGCTAGCAGTTTCGATAAGTCTTAAATACGATCTTAAATATCTATAAGCTATTTTTTCTTCTAAATTCCTGGGCATCATTTTAAGGCAACAATCGCAAAGATTTGCTTGAGAAATGCGAGGACGACTCTCAATATGTGCTTCTTGCAATAAAGTTTTGAATTTTACATACTTTTCCTCTGGAGTTTGTTTAAAACAATTCAAGAATTCCCTTGTCAAATTCGTGAAATCCTCTAATTCTTTTGCGCTAGGTTGTTCAGCGTCATTGTTTACAAAATCACCATACCAGACGACTGTAGAAGGCCGTCCAAACAATGACGTAATCCAAGACATATTTTTGATTCCTTCAGAAGTACGATGACGTGGGTGTGAACCTTTATTTTGATAGCAAAAAACGGAAGTACCAGAGATACTTGTACCATGCCCAGTGTAACGTGCTTCGCAAGGTTTATAATCGTCAAGTATTTTCCACATTAGAAGCATTTCTGTTTTACATGTGTCCCGTATAAAACGATCGGAAAGAGTTTCTTCTTGTTGAAGTAATTTGATAGCTACGTTTCGTGAAAGAACTCTCATAGCAAAGTTTCGACAATATTGATAGAATTCCGGTGTTCGAAGATCTCCATTGAAATATAAATGTATGAAAATTTTTTTAACGATTGACTGATTGCCATTATCTATTGAACTAGTCATCTCAGAAAGTAAACTATGCATCGAGACTGATTTTCCACTAGAAACACTAGCTAGAACACGTTCTAATAAAAATAACCATTGTACATGTGTAATTAAGCGTTCTCGATGTCTCAAAATAATGTCTGCGATAAGATTTTTCAAAGCAGCAAGCTGCTCGTCGACTACAGCCTCCCCAACCATTCGAACACCTTTTACCTTCTGAGTGTGTCCTGTATGCGGTAGACGTAAACAATAAATTTCAGAAAAATATTTTTTCAAGTCGTCGGCTTCTTGGCGATGAATATAAAAAAATTCATTGGTGACATCTTTGATGCCAAACTTTTTAACTAACGAGCATTTGTTCTCAATTATAATCAAAACTGGCAAATATGGAATATTACTAATGTTTGTATTTGCGCTTAAAGCGAATTCATAACAGCGGCTAAGAAAATCAGCCGAAATAAGTTCCTCTGTACCTATCAGAATGACAATATTACTCAAAACATAAGCCAACTTAGGAAAATATTCAGTGACCGCTTTACATCGCTCCTTTCCGTAATCACTATTTAAGTCAATTCGTTCAGTGAAGAATTCCCGTGCATGTAGCATCAAAGGAAATGATGATCCTTTCTCACCTTCATAGTCTAGCACCAGCATTTTCTCTGCTAAGTCCTTCGGTGCTCTGCTTTCAAAACAATTAATATTTCCCGTGGTACTACTTTCCATCTTGTTTTCGTCAACAAGTTGTGGACCATATTCGGTATTTGTTAAGAGACGTTTTGTCACAAAACTTTTACCAACTGTCGTATTACCCAATAGACTAAGAACAAATACACCGTTTCTATTTGATATTTCATCTTTTTCGGTTGCTTTCTGCCACTGAGTCGCATAACCATATCCTAATGAAAGAGTCCATTTTTTAGTAGCAACCTCTCTATGAAGCGATACTAATTCACCATCTTGTTCACGTATGGCAGCTGCAATAGTTTGTTCATCTATAACAAGATCTGCAAAATTTTTGTTTTCAGTTTCTTTTTTCTCGATCTGTGCTGTTGATGCTGGTATTGTCTTTGGTTGTGCCATATTTTATCTAAACGAAAGGAAGAGGTTGTATTGATGATTTCTTAATATCGAACTACTGCTTATATATAGGCTGCAAAATATTATTTTTTCTTGCTCTTTTCAATCAGACACATCGCTAAGATATTTAGTGCTAGCAGCGCTGTGCTCTTCTTCGCTTCTGAGCGAATACTAGATCTTGTTTCGAGTGGTGTCAAACTTGTAACTTGAATTCAATCGACATACTATTCTTCAAATCTCAACATTCTATCTGTTATACTGATGCTCTGCGAAGTACCCTTCCAATCATTCTGTGCTGAAAAGTTAAATTTTGAAAGTTGAAACCTGAAATTTCAATGAAATTCAAGATGCGAGTTCTACATATATGCAATAAGTTTTCTTTTTTCATATTTTTTTCAATATATAACCTTAACGTGTAAGTAGCTCTGTAGTAAGGACCTCTCGTTGCAGACGTATTCTTTGAAATCTCATATTTTTATTTCTACTTTTATTTTTCATTCAGATTCACGTGTTTTTCTACTTCAGTTTTGAAGATGGCGATACCTCGAAAGAGAAAATATGTTTGTTACGAGCTTTTATGTTTTATAAGGGAATCTTATGTGTGTATGTCATACATGCAAAAAAATTTCGACTTTTTTTCAGTACTTATGTAAAACATGACTGATCCTGCATGTACAATAATATACGCATATAAGGAAACTCTCCAGTGTTGATCCATACACTGGTCAAAATGTTAACGTGCGATGTTGAATTTTTTGCGACCAATGATTTAAAATTTCAATGATACGGGTTTTTATTCATACAGACATTAACAACCAATTATTGATTAGAAAAAAAAATAATCATATTAAATTATGAAAATAATCGAACATGAAAACAACACAAAAAAAGCTGTTAGCTGCAATCTCCGCGGGATTAAAAATGTAAAGCACGATCAATCAGTTGTTAATAAACAAATAGAAATAGCTTATTTTCTGTGTTTTCAGGATATCTTTCTTTCCAATCCTGTATTTAGTGCTTTAGAACTGTAGTAAGCAATTAGTCAACATATTGTAATGACAGTCTATCGATATAAGATTTTAACCTATTTCAAAAATGTGTATCCCACTCTTTGATGGATTTTAGGACTGTCATTCACGGCGTGTGAGGGAGGGGGGAGTGAGTCTAAAATTTCTACCCTAAACACTTCAACGCTACTGTCAGATTGTGTTTCACAATAGTGTAAATGCGAAAGAAAAAAAAGGATGCCCCAAAAAATATGTTTTGAAAATCTAGAAATAAGATAGACTCTTACTTTAGTGATCGGGCAGTTTGAAAAATAAGTATAGTTCTTGAGAAATTTTTCATTTTACGCATTTTAAACGGTTTACTTTACTGAGGCTAAAAGGACATACGTGAGTTCCACATTTTAGCCCCAAAAGGGGTACGCTAAAAAACTTTTTACGAGGAAAAACTAAATCTCTAATGTATTTTTTTGTAGAGCAATAGCAGAAAGCAACGAAGGCAAAATGCCTACTTCACTTTTTATTTCGTTTTAGAAACCAATGAGAATAAAAATATTTTCTGATTTTCTTACCAAACTTGACCTTTTACATACTGGCAGGTAAAATATCAAATCTGGCACTTTCGAGAAGCTAGCAATTCTATATGTGTGAATTCCTTACCTGGTTTCGATCTTTATCCGAGCTTGGTGATGTTCACGGGTGCTGAAGTATATGCACACTTGGTAACTTTCTAAAATTCTATCTAAAAAGAATTTTAAAGTACATCATGTAGAAATTTAGACCTCCTAAATCATGACAGATAGCAGTCACAGACCGTAAAAGACGTTCTTGACAAAGGATCAAAGAGCTTATGCCAATAACATCTCGTTACTGTTAGGTTTCTTTTCATTTTAGTAGAAAAAAAAAACTTACGACTCAAATAATAAAAAACAAGAATAAACAACAAAAAAGCAAAGTTATCTAACTCACAAGAAGAAGAAAAAACGACCCAGTCACATTGTCATCATACATGCACACACTGGAAGAAAAAAAGACACAAGAAAGATTGCTCGTATGGATACTCTAGAGGATTACGTAAAAGAAAGAGAGAAAACTTGCTTCATGAATATACAGCGAGTAAAATATATTTCTATGATTAGCAACAATAACTGCATCGAGTTTCTCCTTTTAACTTTGCAGGCATTGTGTTAACAGTTGTCATTTGTGCCCTAACCCTGAAGATGTAACAGTTGCTTTGATATTTTTTTTTACCTTGGATTTTGTCAGAGACATATTATCGTAATATTGACTTATGAATATCTGTCCTCTCTTAATCTTTTTCAGTGTGTCGTAATAACTTTGGTCGCTTTTATTGTTCTTTTAGTATCAAGGTTTTTCTCCTCTCTTACCTGATTCGATGCTTTTTTCCTGTGGCTTATAGGATGTTTTGCTTTTTTAATTGTTTTCTTTGTGACATTGTATTGCTTCATGACTTGATACTTGATGGATTACCATTAGTTATATTAACGTTATTTTGTTTGAATGCGGGTGTGATCACATTGGATATTGATTTCTGATTGGAGGAGAGGGTTTAGGAAAATATGTCGATACATGTGGATTAGGGTTTGTAGAAAGTAGAGTTTCATACTCACACTTAGTAACAACTCTCAATGGGACATGAATGGAAACTGAAGCTAAAAATGGATGAATAATTACCACCAGCACTTATTAATCATGTATAGTACATCCTGCGTCGTTATACGGTTGGTAGAAAAATTCTTTATTAGATCAGCGCAGCCAAGCGACACTATCATGATATCCCTTTCATTTGTCAGTCCATTATGTCTTCTTCAAACAGTTTGCTTCAGATTCAACATTTTACATTATTTATCTAACATGCTTTCTTTTTCTATACTTTATTCTTTTCTGATTCATACATGGTTTTGTTCTCCTCCTGTATCTTTTTCTTTTCTTTCCTACCATTTTTTTGTCATCATACCAATTGGTTTATCATTTTTTACAACTTCGGGTGTGGTGCGTGCTTGTGACTGTGAGGTTGGTTTGTCAGGCGTGGGTGTGGATGTGAGTGTGGGCATGGGCGTGGGCATGGGTGTGGGCGTAGACCTTGATTCCATCGATACTCACCCACACCCACAGCCAGAAGAGTTTGTTTACGGTGTTAACTCAAGTACTCGATGAATTCTAAGCGCCTTGGAAATGTGAAGAAAAATATGGATATCGATGACGAATCATTTTCGATTGGTCATCGAGTTGTGAATTAATATTTTGTCGAACGTACATCAGAATGAAGCTGAAAAAAGTACTAGAAGACTACAAGCCATACTTCCGTATGAGTATAAAGATACACATTCTAGAAAATTTCAATCACGCCACAAAATGCTTAGCTAACAACGAATAGTCGAGCGATCGAATTATAGCTAACCTCACATATCATAACAGGGCATCTCTATACTCTTTTAATGCCATTTTTTAGTTCATTCTTTTCCAGTCACCTATAAATTGGCATACTAGAATATGTTCTCAATAACTACCGATAATCCTAGCTACAACACATGCTGCTAAAAACAAAGTAAAAAATTATGAAACTTTTCTGTGAAGTATTATAAAATAATGTTCAACGTTTCTTGCAACTCGGTCCGCGTAAGCATATGTCACACTTTTTGTTGTAATTTTTCAGGGTGGTCCACATCGTGTTTATCGTCGGTTGACTAATCTATGATAATGTGTACATCGACTTTTTCGAACGTTTTATATCTATTCCATTCTTTCCTTTGTGAACATCCAGTGCTACATAGAGCTTTTTTCGAACAAGCTGAGCGAACTTAGCATGCCATTCGCCATTGTCTTCACCACGCGTTGCATCCACAAATTAACACTTTTGTGTTAGTACAACCAGAGGCATAAATACAAGCTCGATGAGAAGAAACAGTAAAACAAACAAATCCAAACATAACACTAAAATGAAAATCCATAGAACACTTTCTTTCGATAACAGGCGTTTCTACTCACTACAAAATAAAACATAGAGGAAAATGGTTTCATTTTTCCAGGCGATCGGTTCTTCAATATTCTTTACGAAAAACACTGATTCGGTAACGTCGACAGTAGGCATGCACCGAACCAGGGAACAGACCGGAATTTCCGGGTTCGGCCGTTTCCGGAGTTCGGTCATTCACGGAGTTCGGTGGGTGTGGAGTGTGCTTTTCTATATTATTTTAACACCCACAACCGCCCACACCCTGTATCGAAAGAATTAAAAAAGTGCTATTCAACAAAATATTAACTTGATTGATTGTTATCAACAAAAACATTCTCTAATCAAAGCTGATATTGTTAGACGAAAGCTATTTCCTTCAGAATGATTGATGCAGAGATGTCGACTTAGCATTAGGATTAGGAAAACGCTAATACTTGATTGCGTGGATGTGGGTGGCGATATATCAAGAAAATTTTCAGACGCACACTAACATCCACTCCATACTCAATGGTAACTATATATTTTATGTCGAATTTAAAATTGTTCTTCGATTCTTTCTTCTATGAACTATTATGAGCGCCATTGTACAAAGCGTTTGAGATTCTTTACCTATGTGAACCGTATAAATAATCGTATTAGATGTCATGATTTGGCTCACATTATTTTGTTAGAAAGCAGTCGCTTCCGTAGCCCAGGATGCTCAGTTAACGATATCGATGAGAACGTGGATCTGCATCTTCTTGTCATTCCCACGAAAAATGTATACGCGCATCTTGATTTTCCATACGTCTGTATGGTTCTTTCAAAGGAATGGGTTTCGAAATATAAAATGAAAAAAGTGGCATTTTTTATGCATGAGCATGAGTTATGATTTCAGTGTTGTTGAGACATCTAACTTAAAGTATTCCTAGGATTTTCATTAAATTCCCATGGAATTTGAAATTCCAGGAATCCACCGATACCTTCTTGGTCTAAAGTGTTTAAAAATTACGTTTGCATCCATGTAATTGTCGAACACAAGATTATGTATGAGCTACTCTTTTGAAATTATGTGAAACAATTATTAATATTTTAGACAGTTTGTGTGGAATGCACTGGCTGAAAAAAAGATTTTATAACTTGATAAGAATTTCTCAAGGTTTCACACAAATACATTGGTTTTTTTTGAAGTTTCATATTTGACTGAGAATTAGGAGAACAACAGTTGGCTACAGCACATCATAGGAAAATATCATGGCAACTATAAACTATGAATTCAAACTCTTTTCAGCATTTTCATAGTTCTATGAGATCCTACGCTATGCTCATAGTTTTGACTCAAAAACGATTCAACACTTCGAAACGTTCATCCATTAATTTCTCTTTAATTCATATTAAACATTATTTTTCAGCATATTTTAATTTATCATAAAAATATATTGATTCAGAAAAAAATTATTTCAATCTCTGAACCTTTAATGATAATAATTACTGAATTGAAAATAATATTTTAAAATTTCTTTAACAGCTATGATTGTATAAATATTCTCAATATGTATCGAACAATTTTTTTAATAGACTAAAGTAAAAGAAGAAAAGAAAGGAAGATTATTATATCGAATAAGACAACGTTGGGTATGATGCATAATATTTCAAATGCATCTACCGTAGTTATGTAAATGTACCTTATGTTGACCTTTAGTGACAAGCCATCGACGTTTATGATTCGGTTAAATAATTGCATCAGTGTTCGTTGAAATTTTCTTTTACTTCCTAAGTATCAAAAGAAAAGAGCGTTATTCATACACTCATACCGTTGTATTCTTCGTTCAAATAACACTTATCTTTATCATTTATACGCATCTTTGAGCGTTCGTCAGGTTTGTATTTTAATAAATTTTTTTGATATATTCGTATGCAGTTCAGGTTCATTCAGATTTCTCTCGAAAGTTTTTTTTTTAATTTTTATGAAAACTACAAGACATTTTTATTATTATAAAAAATGAAATACTCGTTTTATATAGATAAACCTAACTTATGAGTGAAGTTCTACATAATGATGTACTGACTAAACTTATAGTTCTTTCTTTTAGTAAACAATAACTTATACAGGAACAGAGGTTTTGTATACTGAGGCTCAATATTGTCTTAAGCAATGTCAGCTGAATAACTCAAATTATGAATCGGTTTCATCCATAGATAGTTTTCACTTCCCAGATATTATTTCGATTGAATTATTTAGTATAGGTACAAAATTCAACTTGTGATTGTTTGAGATGTTCATTTATTGATGAATAAATTCATCAGTACTTTTCTATGGATAATCATGTGTTACAATGTTTGTGATTTTTTTTCCTATTTATGCAAACAACTGATTTTAGGTAAAATACTTCCAAATGTTTTTCAAATGAAAACCATTTACCCCCCCCCCCCAAAAAAAAAACAAAATTCAACTTTAAAAGTATTATCATTCTTACATAGAAATT